AATATACCATTCGGAACTAAGATATTCTTTTTATAAGTAACTCGAAGCAAAGATAAATCCATCATTTTTTCAGCAAAATAAAAGGAAAGAGTACGATCATTGCCTCAATGATTGTTTTAGAAGTTTCAGCAGGCGTAAGTTGAGCTTCCTCATTCTCACCAATTTCTGAATCCGAAATGTCTTCAAACGGATGATACCTGGACGGCTTCGCATTCTGTTTCACCGGTCCAGTACCCGCACTTGACTGATCTTTCGTACTTGCTTTAATTCCACATTTTCCCTTACCCGTTCTTATTCTTCCACCGCCATGCTCCGTCGCTAATCTCCTAAATTTATTCCTACAATCAAACTTCACACTTGAGCTGTGCTTTTACTGTTATTAGAAGATAATTAGCTGTAATTAGTAGTAATAGGAGAAGTAGTAGTAGTACCGAGGGATGGAGAAGCTGGCTGAGTGAGAAAACCGGCGGTAGGTGGAGTTGAAGTTACCGGCGGAGAAACGGACGGCGGCGACGGCGGGTTCTACCATCAGCATTTTCGGAATTTCAGCAACTGAGGAATTGAATAGGGGGAGAGATCAGTGAAATAGAAGCAAAAAGTGCTGGGTTTCAATGATCTTTTTCGTCCATCTCTCTTCGTGATTGGGCCGTGCGGTTCTCTTATTATCCTTTTGAAAGCTCTTCCGTTTGTGTCTTCTTATTTGCTCATTACAATATGCGATAAAAGATTCCGTGCTTTCTCCCATACCGTCCCCACAACTGAGTCCACCTTCCAAACTAAACTTATGAAATTACAATAGTACCCTCGGCGGTCATTTGATATTTTGGTTTAGGAGTTATAAACCCTCCAACTGAGAAAATATCTTCAGTTATTCAAAAAGGGAAGCTACTAAACCGCAGTCTCTCACTTTCAACTCTCAATTTGTTGTGAAATTGTCTGGTAAATCTTTCCCTCTTTCCAATTCTGTTCTCACTCATGTTGCAGTTATTGACTAAAAATAAAAGGAATTTTCTTTTTGGTGTGGAGTGTATGGATAAGGTTTAAATTCGTTTTACCCAATTGAGTAATATTTTGTCTTGTATGGTGCAGGAGTTTCAACTAATGCTTTATCTTCCCCGCTAAAAATGCTTTGTTTGACGTATTCTCCGGTAGTTTTTACTACTAGACGACTGGAATCAATTGAACTCCCCAAGAAGAACTATAATCGTAACATTGTGGTAAGATTCTGCAGCTTTTGTAAAGACTAGCAAATTCGTCGTTCCCCACTGCTATGTTATTAGCTCTATGCTAGGCTACTAAACTGCAGCGTTAATATCATTTTGTTTGAAAGTAATTAGAGAAAGGGTATCTGTTCATGTAGTTTTTTAAAGATTTTTGTTATAATTTTGATTTGATTAGTACCTTCATTGTTCAGAGAAGCTATTAAGAAAAAGAAAAAATTGTGCAAGATCAGAGGAACTCTATGGCAACTGTAAAGAACTTCAATTTCCCTTTAGGAGGAATCGTTGGTCTCCTACATGGATGTCTAATAGAAATATGCTCAATTTGGATTTCGGTGATTCAGTATTGTTTGCCTTGTCTTCCTTTTTCTCCTTTAGCTGCATACAGCTCTTTTCTATTTTCCTCTCTTCTTGCAGTTGAAGTCACCTTTAGTCATAATTTTGATGTTCCTCAGGTGTGCGAAGCTAAAGGTCCACGACCAAGGTATCCTCGAGTGTGGAAAACTAAAAGGAAAATTGGGACCATTTCCAAGTCACTGAAGCTTGTTGAGTGTGTAAGCTTTTCTCTTTTCTAATTTTTCTCTCTGATTTGAAAGCAAAGGCCTCAACATTCTCTGCATTAGCATGAGATTTGCCTCAGTCTCTTCCGTGAAGCATGCCAGGCACCTCTCCAGAATAATATAATATTTAGTCTGGTTCAAGAGAATTTAGTTTGGTCTTGGATTTTCTTTTTCGTAGATAAAGGGACTATCGAATGTCAAGGAAGAGGTCTATGGAGCTCTTGATTCTTTCATTGCATGGGAACTGGAGTTCCCTTTGATTACAGTGAAGAAAGCATTAAAGATCCTTGAGAATGAAAAGGAGTGGAAAAGGATAATTCAGGTATCATCTTTTATTTGGTGCTCTAGTTTTTCATTCTTTGACAGGCTTGTCAGGTCCTAGAATAAATTGTATCAATCAAGCATATGTAATTATAGGTGACAAAGTGGATGTTAAGTAAGGGTCAAGGGAGAACAATGGGGAGCTATTTCACGCTGCTAAACGCCTTGGGTGAGGATGGAAGACTTGAGGAAGCTGAAGAGCTTTGGCTGAAACTATTCTCTGACAATCTGGAAAGCATGCCTCGTATTTTCTTTCAGAAAATGATCTCCATATACTATCACAGGGAGATGAATGACAAGATGTTTGAGGTATCCCGCATCTGTTTACTTTTTCCTCTTTCTCTTCCTTCAATTTATTGGTTTCTCTCCCAATCATATCTTGGTACTTTCTCTTTTATTTCCATGAAATAGTGCCTTTTCTTTCACTACCCATGATCCCTTAGGCCTCTGAAATTAATTACAAAAGTACAGAAATGAAAATTGGAATTAGCCCAAAAGAGAGTGACACATATAATAAATGCGGATTAGTGGATAATCTCGGTAGAGCCTCTACAGGTAAAAAAGTTTAAGCTTTTGACAGAATTCATATAGCTGACAACTTGTTCGGGACCAAGGCGTAGTTGTTGTTTTTACAAAGTCAAAGAAGACCTAATAATGCACCTATTAACACTGGTGGAAATGTTTTATAAGAGGATATAATATATATAAAGAGGGGGTTATCTACTGAGTTCCAGATGCTACCTATGTGAAAGGGAGGTTGAGGATAATTCCCACATGTTCTTACATTGTGTTGGTACCTCTCAATTGTGGAAAATGTTCCTAAGTATGTTTTGGAAAGAGTTGGATTATGCCAAAGCTAACTATTGATCTCCTAAGATGCTGGTGTAGTGTAGCTGGGGGTGTAAATCAGAAGAAATGGTGGAGAAAGATTTCAGCGTGTATTTGGTGGACAATGTGGAATGAAAGAAATCCCAGGTGTTTTGAGGATCAAAGATATTCCATCCAGGGAATAAAATTGAATTGTTATATTAATGTTTTTATTTTGGTGTAAGAGCAACCTTGTAAATGATTGTGAATCTATACTCAAAATCATAGAGTCCCTGTAAGTTTTTTTCTGGGGGATCTTTTATTTTGCCAATCTGGGAATGTAATTTGTTTTCTCAGTACAACCTTTGTACTGATAGATAGATGAAAATGTTAGTACCATTCTCAAAAAGAAGATAATATATATAGTCTGAAAATAATATTGAAATTGTAAGTTAAAGTATTACATTGTCTCTATTGGTAGGTTAAAGCTAGATTGGCTAAGTTAACCTGTGAAAATCTCCCAGCTACACCGTGGGTAATGCCTTTCTCCTAATTCTGACCAAAATAAAGCAGCTTTTCAAGTTGCTAAATTACTAATCCATTTATGAGTTTTCGTTTTTTACTTGACATGAGCATTAAGAAGCAGAAACTTTTTATAGTTTTGTGATTCTAAATTGAGGAGTACCTTTTGTACCATTAAATAGGCTTTCAGGAATGAAAAGGTAAACTTTTTTTAACGCATTTTGAGATTACTCAAAAAGGAAAGGTTGACTGTCATGATTGGACTTATATGGTACATCTAACTTGTGGGGGGTGCCAAATTTGTATGAACCTTTATGGTACATGTAACTTGTCCCTTAAGCCAGGTTACTGGTGAAAGTTGTTGCCTTTGGTTAGGCTTTCAGGAATAAAAAGATAATAAGTTGTCTTGGGAAGAGTAAACTGAGACGAGTGAACCTTCTGTTAACATACAAAATGTAGGAATTCTCTTTAACAAATGAACACGATTTTGAAGTTACTCAAAAAGAAAGCTTGAAGGTTAATTTAGGTGGGTGTACTAAGTTTGGATAGACTTATTGTGGTACTGTATGAACGTTATATGCTACATGTGACTTGTTCCTCACCTTTGTCACCAAGCCGGGGAACCTCTCTCCAGATTTACGGGATTTAGTTTAGCTACTTTTGCTTCTACTGTTTCGGTATGAGAAGGTATAGATTGCATTGGAAGCGTTTGGGAGTTTCTTACTCTACTTTCAGTTGACACTATATTTTGGTAGGAAGCTTTTTTTCTACATGAACCATCAATGTATTGTATTCTTTAATTGAATTAATGTATCTGTCTTGTTCTATTGCTGAATATCTGGATTTGTGTTCATCTGCAGATATTCGCAGACATGGAAGAACTTGGTATTAGGCCCACTGTGCCGGTTGTCACAATGGTGGGAAATGTTTTTCAGAAACTTGGAATGTTGGACAAGTACCAGAAATTGAACAAGAAATACCCACCCCCAAAGTGGGAATATCGATACATAAAAGGAAAGAGGGTCAAAATAAGAACAAAAGATCTTTATAACTCTAATAATAGTGATGTTGTAAGTAAGTCTGAAGAAGTAAATGAGTCTGAGTTAGGCGACCAAACAAAAGATCAAGCAGATGAAGTTGATGAAGATTATGTAGAGCAACTCAAAGAAGTTGACGAGTATGAACCTGGTGAAATATCAACTGTACCTAGCGAATCAAGGGAATCTTCTATGTCAACTTAATGCTTTGTATCCTATCAAAGATCTCATTGTTTGACATTTATTACTGCATTGCCTCTCGTGTGAGATGGACTTGACTGCTCATCACCAACGACACCAAAACCATAGGTGTAATTTTAAGTTAATCTGATGGCAGAAGTGGGGTAATTCACTTTGAATCTATAACCTCATGCCTATGCCAAGAGGAAGGGCATACGAGTTCGTATATGGGCGAAGGTTGAGAACAACTATAGGATAATAGGAACCAAATTTTTGAACGGGAAGGAGGGGGAAAAAAGATCATTTGGTTCACGTGTAGAGGGAGAAATCAGAAATGTGAATGAAAGTAGAAATTGGTCCAAACCATGTAGAATTTTATGTGAAACTGTTATAAATTAATTTTCTCAAATTGTGGTTCATTCAGTACCAAGAAGCCAATTCTAGAAAATGAGTAACACTATTCCAGAGTACATCAAAAGACAGACAATTTCACCCCTCATGCGCCTTGACCTTATTTTCTAGCTTTTCTTCTAGCGGAGCCATTAGCAAAGCCCTTTCTATTATTATTCAGTTTCTCAACCTCGGGCTCGGGCTCAGGCTCAGGCTCAGGCTCATCTTCATCTTCATCTTCGTCCTCATCCTCACTATACTCGCTTTGATCGCCCTCTTCGTCTTCGTCAATGTCATCTTCATCATCTTCAAGGCCATTCTCCCCCTGCACTCCCTCAGCCACATGACCACCTCGACTTCCAGCTCTGCTCCTTTTCAATATTTTTAGTTTTAAGTTTGTCTTCGTGTCACACCCAATCCATGTGTCACACATCAAATGACAGTTTAAATTGTAATTTCCGGCCTGTGGAGCTTGGATCTTGCCCAACACCAGTCGACACCCGCTCTTAACTTTTGCGACAGCATCTTTAACAGAGGCAGTGATCTCCTCCATACTAGCCCCTGATGCTTCCATTTTCGCTTCAGTTATTGTTGAAGCAGTTGTTATGGCTGCTGCTTCATCCATAAAGTTGACACTTTCGGAAAACCAGACATCATTTGAATTGGCATCTGCAAGTAAAAACCAGAAATTTTCTCCCTTGGAGAACGGATAGTATGGGGCATGTGGAACGGCTGCTATCAAATCATTAGCACGTCTGAGAGTCACCCATGCCTGAACTGTGACAATGTCCCCCTCTTGTATGCCTTCCTCCCCCTCAGTCTCGCAAGTAACTTCAATTGTTGCATGAGGAATCAATTCCAGTACCTTCTCCACGTCTTGTACTTCAGAAGCAGAGAGGCCAGCAACACCAGAAAGCAGCTCGGCACGTTCTTGAAGGGCCATGTCCTGGAGGTCCTGTAGCGTACGCACCTTACATGGACAACAAAAACTAAAGGTTATGACTATGACAAGAACCATGTAAGGAATAATAATGACACAACAATTAGAGCGCAGTAAATAGGGACAGAACAAAGACTGTTGCCTGTACCGCACCATTTAATGAACCTAATATAGCATGCCTAAGATTTAGAACTTACGGGTATCCATCAACTGGATAAGAAAGAACTTAAAGCTTCCAGGAGCTAGAAATTTTTTAGCATTTTTTAAATGATGGTTAATCTAAGTGCGAGAAAGAGAAATGGTCATTGTTAGTAAATTTATTCAGAAAAAAAAGGCTAACAATTGAAGTGAAATTGAATGGTATCCAAGAAATGTCAGAAAACGAGTTTTCGTTTCATTGCATTCGTTTGGACCAAATGGTTTGAAAAGCTCAACCAAAATCTTGAATCCATTTAAAAGAAAATAAAATAGATGATATAAAAACAATAACAAAATAAACAGTGCTTTCCTAACAACTGTCTTAGAGCTATCTTCTTATGGAACATCTCTAATATGTCTGGATAGGAAAAGAACGCTTACCTTCTTCCCTATCTTTGTGATGACTGCATCACTGAAATGTGGAAGCTGCAAAAGTGAAGCAACACCTTCAGAGGATCCTGAACCTGCCTTCCTAGCACTAAGAGGAACAGCCTGCATCCATAACAGATGCACAAGATTCAATTTTCTGAAAAGCTGAAGAATCTTTTCTTTTAACGCGGATAATTTAAGGTCTCACGACTTTTAAAATAATGAAAGAAAGCATGAGTTTCACATTGACCTACCAACTGGTTCAGTTAAAATTTCCAGGGAGTTGGGACTGGCTCCGGCCCCCAAACCAGTTGTACTAGCTTTTACTAGTGGACGCCCTCTTTTTGTTTTGGTAACTTATTCTATAATCATAATATTGAAGGATGTAAAGTATAACAGTGTAAAATGTAAAATATTACTAAAACCTGACAAGTAATACTATTTAAAAGAAATATCTCACATATTATTAACTTTGAAATGAATTCCAAATGGAATACCTAGAAATCTCAGATTGAAACCTCATTATTTATGGAAGACTTCAAAGAAAACTTGATGATTGTTTCAAAGAATTCTTCAAATTGAAACCTCAAGTCAAGTATTATTAAAATGTAAGTTACTTTTTCTCAATTACGAGCCAATTCGGTCCTGGTCACTCCTATAGCCAAGCCCGGGTCCGTGCCGAATTTGAGCTACATTTGGGACCGACATAGCCCTGCCTTTTCATCTGGGACAGTCTTGGACCTCGTTTTCTGGTCCGGATTGGCCAGTTTCCTAAGCTAACCTGTTACAGTTGCCAGCTGTAGTTGACATTTGACGAAAATCTAATTGTCTGACGTGTACGGTGGAACTCGTAGATTATATCCCTTAAGATCAAAACATAATCAAAGTATCTCCTCGTGGGTGTAAAAAACTTTTCTAAATACTCCCTTTCTGCTAATTCAACCGAAGATAAACTTTACCAGTAAGGCAGTAACAACACCAATATATCCCTCTTTAGCACAATCCTATGTATGCATTGCTTAACCTATGAAACTTTAAATCTCTTATTTCCTAGTTCCTTACAATTAATCTTCTTTATCACTAACAATATGTTTGGCATTTTAGAACTTAAAAGTATTGAGGTTCATCTAGTGTGTGGTTATCGGATGTCATATACACTTGCCTTACAATTGATGTTTAAGTTTATTGCAGGGGGTGTTCAGCGAAGTCTTCAGCCAGTTCTATGAGAACAAGGAGGTCACTGGGAAGTTTTAATATTTGGTTGAATTTTTCCAGCAACTTTTTCCAAAGAGACAATCAGAGCAGAATTGCTTAAACAGCAGTAAATCAAAGACCTGAATTATGCACTGGGATAGCTCGATGACTCCGATTGCAGGCCTTAGCCAACCATGTCCCTTAGCAGTGCGTGGCACTGTTGCCATCTGCATGCAACAATAAACAAGAGTACTAACTCCAATTCACAATTGAAAAAAGAGGGTAGATGAGAAACCAAAAAAGTGTAAGTCAAACTTATACTAGCCAACACATATAGAACAGCAGCAAATGATATTCACGCCACCAAGAAAAATACATGTATAAGAAATAAACTAAGTCTAAGCAAACTACCTAGAATATACAATCTTATCCAAATTTTCTCTCTAAACATTACAATCTAACCGCCATAAATATGCCAAGGGATGTTAAATACTGTTCTAGTTTCTTCATTTTGTCCTCATAATTTACATTTTACTATGATGTTGCAAACAAGAATGTCGACAAGGAGTCTGGATTGTTGAAGAACAAAAAGAGAAGCTAAAGAATGGAATTGGTTCAGACAATTCACAAAAACTTGCTAAAAACCATGTCAATCTGGACATGTTCATGGATGTTAAAGCCACGTCAGTTTCCCAAGAATGTTACAGGTTTGAGCTTTGCCTTTTCATGTCTACACTATTTTCATAGCAATCCTGTATTTTCATTTAGTATTATAGCCTTTTATTTATCTTGGAAGGCCTGTTGTGATTGTTTCTGTTTGCAAAATAAAAGGTAGTATGTTCTAGCAAGAAAGACAAGACGAACACTTCCACTTTGGACAGCCCAGGAGGTTTCCATCAGTATCCCAGTACATCCATAACAAATTCAATAAATCAAATTCAACTCAAAGTACTGAGATAGAAGTCGGATTTGGTATTTGAATATTTTTTATCGACATACTAGTAAAAGAATAACTTGAAACTAGAATCAGACATGTCATCTGACAAATAATAATAGCATGAAACTTAACTCTGGGAGTGAAAAACTGCATGATACTAGTAGCACCCTGCAAGAGTAATGCCCCTTGCTTTAAGAGGTAAGACTAAAAACTACCTTGATCAGCCCTTCGAGAAGACGAGGCGCAAGCTGCAGCACATTTTTGTAATCTTGCTGCAAGTTACTAGTTAAAGTGTCCGCTTTACGAAGTAAATGGGCTTGTATCAACATCTCTGCCTGAAAAAAGGAAGGGAATTAAACTTAGCTACAAGAGATTCATGACAAATACAAAATGCTTCAGTTATCATGGTTATATCTCCTATTAGCTTCACCTTAACAAGAGCAGGATGTTGTTTCCAAAATTTTGCTTGTTCCTGCCTGGCATTCTTACCATCCAGGTTTAATTCACTTTTCACAAGTTTGAAAAGTTCCTGAAGAGGTGCTTCATCAGCTCTTCGAACTGGAATATCCATGAATTCAGCTGCCTTAATGAAGACATCCAGAACTTTGCTGTCATTTCAAGTGTCACAAGCAGTTTAAAAAGCAGTAAAACTATCACAAACTGAGCACACTTAATATCAACCAACCAAGGCAAAAGGCTTAATGTTCAGAGATAGAGGATTCAGGGCATGAGGGCAAAAGGAAATTTTTTCCTCAAGAACGTAAAATTTCAAATAAAATTTCATAAGGTTAGTGAATGTCCTAATAAGCAGGATAGGGACCATGCAGAGGTAAGGGTATTGTCTTCAAACATATTCACGTAAGATGTTAGAGGCGACAATATGCAAGGCATATGCATCTGGACTTGATTCCTTTGGTATATAAACTCAATCAATCAACCAGCTATATATCAATCCCAGTGTTGTAAATAGCGCTCGCCTCAGTGCTAATAGCTTGAGACGTAGCGATGCGAGCATCCAACGCCTTTTTCCTCTGTTGCATTGCGTTTTCAAAATAGCGCTCGCCTCTGCCTGTATAGCGAGAGGCGACAGTGTAGCGAGAGGCGACTGTAGCGTCTTTTTTAAAAAATAAAAGAAAAAGCGCAGGGATTAAAAGAAAAAGACCCGCGATTAGGGCTTTCAGGGATTTCTTTCTTCTTCAAGCTTCAAGCAGCCGAGCAGACCAGCGATTTCTTTCTCCAAGTCGACCCACCCACAGCGATTCTTCTTTCTTCTTCATCTCTTCTGCCATTTTCTTCTTCATCCAGGTCGACCCAGCCATGTATGCTTCTCTTCTTCTCATTTGTTCTTCTTCTGCCATTGTTTATCTTTCTTCTTCTTTTTTCTTTCTTCTTTCTCCTTTCTTTCTTTCTTCCTTTTTCTTCTTCCTCTCTTCTTTTTTTTTTTTGGCTCTGTTTTTTATCGAGCAACACTCAACAGAGAGTAGCATTCAACTCTGTTTTTGCTCTGTTTTTGATCGAGCAGCACTATCTATTGAGTTTTTAATTTTTGAATTGATATATTTATTAATATATTGTTGCTTGTTATATATATGCAAATTTAATATTTTATTTTTTTGTATAAATTGTCGCTTTACATTAAAAAGGCGAGCGCTTCGCCTCTCACCTCTCGCCTCAGTGAAGCAGGCCCTCGTCGCTATTTGTCGCCACACGCTATCCAAAACACTGATCAATCCAAGTGATATATCTCCAGAACCAAAAATGTTTGTCATTATTTAGCTCAGAATTGATAAAAGAAATAATTATATCTCTGACTGGATGTGAACATAATCTATCTAGAAGAACAATAGAAGCTAAATAGCAATTAACAAATAGCTGATCTACATTGATTAAGCACATGTATCATGGAGGGCAGCAAAGAAATAGAGATTTAACTAATACGGACAAAATTTGTGCACTAGTTAAAGATTTATACCAAAGGTTGAATGAGTTTTCTCCGAGAAAGACAACTATTTCTTTCTTTCTTTTCTGAGGTTATATAAATTTGAAAAGAAATTTTAGGCTTTTTTCCTTATTTTCGAAGATAAATCCCAAGAGAGTTAATTTGTTCGGGTTAGAAGACATTCAAATGAGCTAGTATTACTACTTCACTTAATGCACCATCATATTTTACATGAGGTTTCACCATGCGACGTGTCTAATGTATTTTATGTATTAAACAATTACAGTGAATATGTTTGGCAAAAATGTTTTTACCTTGGAGCCAAGGAGGGCTTCACTAGTTCAAAATAAGCGGCTAGAGTTTCACGCCTGACAAAATTTCCCCCATATTTTGATGCTCTTGATAGATAAACAACGCCAAATGCCATTGGCAATAGTACAAAGCCTCCAAGAATCCAAATTAATAATATCCCACCAGATGCGCCACTGAAATCAAGCAGAAACTGAGGAAGTGCAATTCCTATTTGAAAACCCTGCAGCAAGATGTAATATTGTTAAAATCTATGTAAGGATTTCAAGGCACTGAACGTATTTCTTTCATTCCACATAGATAAGAGGACTAGTATAATTTTATTACAGAATAAAACGCAACACCTGTCTGCCATCTGGATGTCCATATTTCTCAAAATTCTCCCTTGAGACTGGATCTGTCAGCGCCTGGTAAGCTTTGGAAATATACTCCACGAAATACTTATTAGCAGCTGAAAATGGAGAAGAAAATTGATTAATAACTGGTAAGCACAGACCATAATACATAATACCCGATTCTTTATAAATTTAGTTCCTTTTTCTTCTATTCCATTCTATACTCTTCTTTTCTTTTCTTTTTTCTTTTTTGTGAGACGGATCTTCATCAGTTAGAGGTAGACATATTAACTGCATCCCCGTAACACATCTCACCTGGATCAGGGTTTTTGTCTGGATGGTATTGTATTGAAAGTCTCCTATATGCCTTCTTTATTACAGTTTCAGAAACTCCTGGTTCTAGCCCAAGAATACTGAATGGATCAAAAGCTTCAATCTGATTTAAAAGAAAGCGCTACGATGTCAGCAAGATCCAGAGAAGAATCACTGTAAACTTTGCATGCAACAACTCTTGGCTCTTGCTTCTTTTTCCAATTCTTTGGGGAAGGGGGCGTGGAGGGGAGTCGTGATAGCAGCTTTTCCTAACATTGATATGCCAGGAGAAAAATCTAGGATAACCTATTAATCTCATTTAGAGAAGTAATTCTAACGTGGTTGACTTTCACCTCACGACTACTTTGCTTGATGGAATAAACAAGGAAGACCACAATAACCCAAAGCAGCAGCACGGTCAAGTTGCTACACGATAAAAAATTAGAGATCTGCACGAGGAAATCCAAAGATTAGAAAACGGGATATTGGGTTGTAATACCAATAATAATCTCCAAGCGCACATCCAACATAGAATTAAATATAGATGCTTGGTTGATAGCTCACCCTTCGAAAAACGGATTTGTGATATTTTCCAGATCGAGTGCAAACTGAACACTCACAGTGAATTCTCTTATCCTTCTTTGAAGCAGCACGAAGAAATTTATGTATTGTATAGGGTACTAAGGGTAGGGCAATTACTGACAATATAAAAATTGGGAATAAGGCACTATTTTCTCCAGAGTCAGCCATGAGAACTTCTGCACAGATAGTTTGCAGATGCTATAGCCTGCAAAAAAACGTGATAGTATCAATAAATTGATTATAACAGTACCAAGTAGGGATAGCAGCCTTAAGTACATGCAAAAAGATAGAAATACAAGGGACGCGGTGGTTGAGGATTTTCAGATGCACGATGTGGAAAATAATGACAGCTAACTATACTGCACTACTTTTTTAATGACGATGGTGTCTGGACCAGCTTGTGCACACGCGATTATTTCACCAGGTACCTGCTACCTCCCACCAACACAGGTACCAGGTAACTCTGCCCGTCAAGGCTTCGGCAGAAAGGAAAAAATAAGCTAGTGTTTTTTTACCTCAAGGATACTGCACTATTTCTCCTTTTATTGGTGGAAAACAACTCTTTTTGTTTGGGTTTTTACTTTTGGTATACTTCTTGCATACGAGTGTCTTTTGCCCAATTTCATTAGTAAAAATTATTACTACAAAAAAATCTGTACTGCACTTTCTAAAGAATCCTAATTGGGCTTGAAAGACAAGTCATTTGGTATTGGAATAAAAGCAAACGGATACATAGAGGATTCGTATAGCAGAATCCAGCTGGTGATGCATATAGAGTATTGGAACTGAAGCTTGTGTGATTGATACCATATTGTACCAGCTCCTAACATCATGATAGGCAATTGTCGGGAAAATAACTGAAATTATCAGAGCAGTTCAATTCAATCAACTGATCCATTCATATATGAGCTGGCAAGTTAGTATATACAGTGTAGCGCCTTACCGCAGGAAATTCAACATGGAAGATTGAATTGAACCTCAATAGCACATAAACATTAGTTAACTAAGCGTTACAAAACAATACCCTATCAATAATCTCTCAAATGAGTAAACTCATAAACCCATTAAACCCGTCGGGGCAATCATCAAAATCGGGGCTCTAGATTTGCAAGCTCGGATCCCGCACAGGAAAAAAAGATGAGAAATCGAAGTTATTCTCCTTCTCAGACAACAGCAAAGCCTATATAAAGACTCTCATTTGACGTGCCAAATTAAGATGAATAGCAGGTTTAGGCCAAAAAGTGATAGCCCATATTAATTCAACAGTCAGCACCCAAACAAACTATTTCCTCAAAAGTCAAAAAAAAAAAAAAAAAAAGTCAAAGATTTGCATAGAACCGAAATGGGAGAATGAAAAGAAGAATCTTGCCTCTGTGGATGTGTTCGATTCTTCCAAGTGCAGTGAGAACTGCAAAATTCAGCGGTGGAGGTTGAAATTGGATTTGAGGACTGGTAACCCGAAACGTAAATCTCAAGTAGTTGTTTACTTTGCAACTTGGAATTGAAAATTGTGGGTTTAAGGATTTGACATTGAAGCATTCAATGGAAATCTAACGTAATACAGTAGAAGATTTTTACAATCTTTTTCTTACTGCTGGAACCGGGACCATGAAGTTGAGGGCAAAATTGTACCTTTTGCAGTAAACGAAATCTTGCATGAAACATGTGTTTTTTTTCTTTTTAATTTTAATAATGGTTTATTCAAAATATATTTTTTGTCCATTTATACCCTTATACAAATAAACTCTCTCATACTTGTCCTTACGTAAAATTGGGTGGACTCCATACTAGAGCAGGAATTAGTTTTGAATAGTCTGATTTAGGTGAAGTTTGGTTTGAAATGAAAATGTATTTGTACATCAGTTTTCAAAATATATTTTTCAAATTTATTTTGGAAAAACATGAAACATGACTTATACCCACAAGTCCTAAAAACTATCACAACTACCCAACATTACCATTATCAATAACATTCATTATATTATCGCAAACCATAGTCCTGAACATAAATAAATTTGGTACAAAATTATCATTTTGATAATAAACTACATGACCGAGAAGACGAAGCAATATTGTTACAAAATAATAAATGATGGGCTCTTTTATAAAATACAAAAGTTTGGAGCAATTTTTAAAAAATATAATAGTGATATTTTGGCCCGAAACCGGCTATTGTACTAGTTTTGGGATTTGGGATTTTGAATTTTGGGATTTTGCCAAAATGCGGGCAAAATTTATGGCCAAACATGTGTTTGCCAAATAAAACCCAAATTTATTTTGGCAAAATCTATGGCCAAACGGGTCCGAAGGTGGTGGACGCCACAATTTCCTTTAATGTATATTTTATAATAACTAATGTCTGTAGTTTATTTGAAACGTTTGTTTGATTTACCTTTTTAGTTTTTTCGGGCAATTTAAAAAGTATTTTTCATTTGCAAATATGAAAATTATATCTCCTTCCCAGATCCTACTTGTAGATTTTCACTAGATATGTTATTGTTATTGTATGAGACATCAAGTTGTAAATTATCATTTTAAAGAAGGAATCAAAAATTTATTATTAACAATATAAATAAAATCATTTTTTACTAGCGAACTATGTATTTTTTTCGTACGCTAAAAATAAATTTGCATAAGTAAAATAACATCTTCAGTAAGGGAATTCCACAATCAGAATAAGAAAAATAAAAAATATATCTTTAATAGATAAATTATACCCCAGTGGTGAATGCATAATTAGGTAAGTTACAGGATCCCATAAATAAATAATAAATCTCATATTTTCTAAGCAATATCATAATTTAAGAATAAAGAGATTAAATTGTATTTAATAATCATAGAATAGCACAAATTTTTATATTAAAGTAAAAAATTACAAAAATTAAATTTGATCTCAATCCAAAATTCATATACCCATTTTTTTTTTTTTGAAAGAAAAAAATAAAAGATTTGAGATTAAGAGAAAAGCTTGTTTTAGGGAATTTTTAAATTTTGGAGGTTCTTTTTTTAGCGTTCTTGCTAAAGATCACGGATAAAATACTAGAATAGAAGAAGAAAAACATAAAAAATAATAAATGATAAATATGAAATTGGGAGGTAGCCAAAAAGGAAATGACTGAGACAAAGGAAATAAAAAGCACAACAAAAAGGAAAGTCACACAAGGTTCAAGATGAATTCGAACTTGAATTTACACACGAAAAAAGCTTTCAAAATTCAAAAAAGGTCTACTAATCATGCACCTTTGTCTAGTTTGCGAGTGGGGGTGACAAAATCAAATATTTAACACATTTTAAGACTTTTTTTACATAAATATATGATAATTATACCAACATAGCTGGTGTCATACTATTACCGTGTTAAATGGTGGATTCGACCCTGTGTAACGACCCGGTCGATCGTTTTGAGAGTATTAGCCTCGATCCCCTATTTACCGCTTCCCCCGTACATTTTATGCTTATGTGACTTGCTAGGAGGATTTATTTTTGGTTTTGGAGAGAAATGGAATACTTAGTCCATAAAATGGAAGATATGTTTTAGGAATTTGATCGTAGTTGGAACTGTGTGAAGATGACTCCGGAATGGAGTTTCGTCGGTTCGGTTAGCTCGGTTGGTTGATTTTGGACTGTAGAGCGTGTCCAGATTGTGATTTGGAGGTCCATAGCTGAATTAGGCTTGAAATGGTGAAAGTTGAATTTTTGGGAAGTTTGATTGGCAGTAGACTTTTCGATATTGGGGTCGGGTTTCGATTCTGGAAGTTGAAGTAGGTCCGAAATGTCAAATACGACTTGCGTGCAAAATTTGAGGTCAATCGGGCGTGTTTCGATAGGGTTCGGCATCGGTTGTTGAAGTTTGAAGTTTCAAAGTTCATTAATTTTGGATTGGAGTGCGATTCGTATTTTTAATGTTGTTTGATGTGATTTGAAGGCTTGACTAAGTTCGTATGATGTTTTAGGACTTGTTGGTATGTTTGGTTGAGGTCCCAGGGGGATCAGGTTGATTTCGGGTGGTTAACGGATCATTTGGAGTTGTGTTGAAATTGCTGAAGTTTTCTAGCTTTTGGTGTCATCGCACATGCGGTGAGGTTGACCGCACGTGCCGACACGCACGTGCAAGAGGAAGCTCGCAGTTGCGGCCCTAGTCTAGGTAGCCAGTGGTCGCAGGTGCGACAAAAGGACCGCAGAAGTGGAGCCGCTCCTGTGGAGGGGTGATCGCAGAAACGGAGAAGAAGCTGGGTAAGAAGTCTGCGAAAGCGGACATTTGTTCACAGGCGCGCACTCGCAGGTGCGGCCATTTGATCGCAGAAGCGGACCAGGTGTTTTAAGTTAAGTCCGCACCTGCGATGGAAATTTCGCACGTGCGGCGTCGCAGGTGCGAGTGTGGGTCTGCATGTGTGAGATCACTGGGTTTTATTTAGCGAGGAACCGTTTCACTCGGTGTCAAATGATCAAAGCTAAAAACTTTAGGCATCTTTTGAGCATGTTCTGCTGCAAAAAAGGGGAAATTACGAGGGTTTGATCTCATTTTTCACTTTGGGACTTCGAGAGCTTGGAATACGCTATAATTGGAAGGATTTTCAGAGGCATCGATTGGGTAATGATTCTTAACTCGTTTTTTATCTCACTAATCTATTATTAATTTCACCTTTTAATTTAAGATTTGAGTTTAGAAATTTGGAAAAAGTGGAAGAAGTTCTTCAACCAAACTTTTGGGTTTTGATTGAGATTTTGGTATCGGATTTTAGTAAGCTTGGTACGAGTGAACTCATGGTTGAATGGGTTTCATATTTTATGACTTTTGCCCTATTCTGAGACGTGGGCCCGGGCCGACTTTTTGGGGCGATTTTTGAAATTTTTGTTAAAGTCTTGATTTTATTAATTAGATTAGTTTATTATAGTTGTATTTATAGTATGTAATCATTTTGGGCTAGATTTGGGCCATTCGGAGTCGGAAAGTCGAGGAAAAGGCGTTCATGTTGATTGATTGAGCTTGGCTCGAGGTAAGTGGCTTGCCTAACCTCGTGTGGGGGAAATTCCTAGAATTTGCTACTGTTGTGATACTTCTATGATATGTGAGCGTCGTGTACGCGAGGTGACGAGTGCGTACACGGGCTAGTTGTTGTAAAAATTCGGTTTTACATTGAGCAGTAGCCTGTTATGTCTTTAATAAGTTATCCCAGCATGTGTACTTTTCATGTTTAGCTTAATATCGCTTGTCTACGTGTCTTAAATGCCAATTTGCAATCTGCTGTTTTTCTCCCTTGACTCGTATGTAGTCTTATACTGTAGGATTTCTTGTTGTTAACTGTTGTTGCTATTGATTTCGAGCTGTGTGTTTATTTTGGGACTACGAGGCGGCACCTCGGGAGATCCCGTTGCATATTTACTTTTTGGACTACGAGGCGTAGCATATTTACTTTTGGGACTATGAGGCGGTACCTCGGGAGACCCCTGCACATTTACTTTTGGGACTACGAGGCGGTACCTTGGGAGATCCCCCTGTATATTTACTTTTGGGACTACGAGACGGTATCTCGGGAGCGCCCCCCGTTGTTCACCTCTATGTGCTATGTTGTTAATTCTATGTGAATTCTATTTTTGTTAAATTCTCAGTCTTACATCATGTTGTTATATCTTTTGTCTTATTATTATATCTCGGTAGGGCCTGCACCTGACCTCGTCACTACTCCACCGAGGTTAGGCTTGGCACTTACTAGGTACCGTGGTGGTGTACTCATATTACTCTTCTGCACATGTTTTATGTGCAGATCGGGGTACCTCCTACCAGCCTCGCTATTAGTTGCGTACTTGCTGCTGCTCCGGAGACTTCAAGGTATATCTGCCAGCATCCACAAACCTCGGAGTCCCCCTCTATCCTTTTTATGTTATTCCTCCTTTAATTCTTCTAGTTACTAATGTATAGAAAAAGTTAGTCAAATCTTAGAGCTTGTGACTTGTGCAATCAGTTTTTGGGAATATTGTTCATACTCGAGTGTTGGTTTACTTGTACATGATGAGCGGCAATTTATCAGTTTATAGTTATCTATTGAAGTTTAGTTGTTAAATACTGCTTTTATTTCCGTTATTCCGAGATTTCTTAGGCTTACCTAGTCGTAGTGACTAGGTGTCGTCACGACGTCTTACAGAGGGAAAATTAGGTCCTGACAAGCTGGTATCATAGCTCTAGGTTCATAGGTGTTATGAGTCACAAGCAGGGTTAGCAGACTCTCGTGGATCGGTACGGAGACGTCTGTACTTATCTCCGGGAGGCTATGGAAATGTTAGGAAAATTTCACTTCTTTGATTCCTTGTCATGCGAAATTGTTGACTTTGGAATTCTAAACTCCTGTCTTCTATTCTCTCACAGATGGCGAGGACACGTATAGGTGGATCAGATGACGAGGCACCCGCGCCCCCTGCTAAAGCCGCGAGAGGCCGGGGCTGGGGTAGAGGCCGAGGACGTTCACGTGGTGCAGCTAGAGCACCCGCATGAGCTGCTGCAGAGGAGCCACCAGAAGCTCCAGTCGGAGCGCAGGCACCTGAGATGCCTGTTACTGCACCAGCACTTTATGAGACCTTTGCACAGTTCCTGAGCATGTTCGGTACTCTAGCTCAGGCAGGGTCG